GCGACCCGTTGTACTCTATTTTCTAAATAACTTTCAAACCATTGTAATAGTTCGCCTTGGATACCATGGTTTTCAGTTTATTAATAATTCCTCTATGCCAGACCTTATCAAAGGCTTTACTTATGTCGCAGAAGACTGCTCTAACATCTTTTCCTTCGTCAAGAGCTTTGGCTATAAAGTTGTACGAAAAGGTTAATTTATTTGTTGTGGAGTCTCCTGGCATGAATCCTGATTGTAAATTTGTCATTAAGTCGTTATCTCTCAGGAAATTGAATACATATTTAAATACACATTTCTCAAAGACTTTCGATAAACAAGATGTGAGTGCGACAGGGCGGTAGTTAGAACGGTCATGTACGCTATCTTTCTTGTGAATAGGTATTACCGATGCTTCTTTCCATGGACTGGGAAAAATTGACAGGCTAAGGGACAAATTGAATAATTTCGTAAGTATGGATGTTAGACGTGATACCTTATTACCTGTAAATTCTGTAATATGATTGGATGTGTCTGGGAAAAGAAACCAATCAATCTACTTCTCTTTTCTTTTGGTTTTAAGTTTGACTGCGCTTTCAAGATTATCTAATATTAATATGTCGTTGCAGTTATGACATATTAGCAACTTTTAAACATTCACCTGGACGATAAGTCACATAATCAATTAACCTTAATCACAGTTAAAATCGCGGCAAAACACGTTCCCAAAGCTGGAAGATACATAGATAAAGCATTCATTGATTGGTGCTGCATTAGATACTAGTATCTTGTAAAGATGGATCGACTATGGAACTTAAAGAATATGTAAAACAGGATTGATGTTTATTTGAGACTTCTTATAGTGAAAACGGTTTGGTTTCAAACTAAAGACTAACCATTTATTGAGTAACACTACGCTGTATTTCTTCTTCCGAAACTCTGCTGAGCGGAGATCCGTCAATGGTATTCATTGTGATTAAAATTTTAAGCTATTAAAGATATAGGTCTCCAAGTGTGAATGTTATTTTGAATGCGTATGTATGTGTTGATTGTTGAATATGTAACACTGAAATACGCTGGATAAGAACGACTGAATATCTATGTAGAAAACAAGTTGTTCAAATAGGTATAGTGGGCAGGGACAGTGATACAGCCGTGAGTGGCTACGCTTTATCCACGCGTCCGTGAGTTAGAACAACGGCAGGTACTGTTTTGGGTACTGATATTTTGTTCTCCTTGCAAACTTCATACGACTTTATGAGGTAGTTGTGAATTGTCGCAGTACATGGGACCTGGTAATTTGGGTTCAATGGTTCACAGAAAGCCCTGAAACCCTCCCCTTTAACAAGACTTAATGGTCGCTTATCCTTAACGCGCATAAGCATTGCTTTTTGCGTAATACCTTCATACCATTTCCTGTCAACAGGCTTGCGACTTTTGCTATCAAATTACCAAACTGCCCCAGCGTTGCTTGTTGAGCTGGTTTTCTGTCTACAGTGCTTATTGTGGGTGCTTACAGGACAAATGCTTGCGTAACTAAGGGAAACGCCACAAAGACGGCATTTCGTATTTTGGCCACTAAATCAAGATAACAATGCGTCCAGACATTGGATGTTTTCTCACGACTCGTGAGAGCCCTAATGGGTACTCAGTTATATGTTTTTTAAATTCTATTGTAAACATGCCAATAGTCTGCTTACCTTCACAAGTTTAGAAAAACACTGACAACTTCAATATGTGTTTATGTCAATTGTTTGTTTTTTACAATGTCCGTCACATCTCGCGGGGCCTCATTCATTCCAAATCAAGCGCTTCCGGTTTCGGGACAACAGTTTTAGTACGTGGTCTGACTGCCAGGTGGGCAGCACCTGCTCCCTCGACCGTGACGGACACAGGGACTGGGCAGCTGTCCACCTTGGCAGAATTTCTTCAACCTAAACAATGAAACAATAAGAACGGTGGATGTACTTCCCGTAATAAAGTACTCCAGCAGTGTAAACTTTTTTCAGATTTTCCAATGCGTTGATCGTAAGATGACCGATCCAATTATTCTGCCTGCAGACAAATCATCAGTGGCATTGTAAAATATATTTATGTTATATGTTGTATGTATTGTCACAGCGGATATTTATACCTTTATATCATTGTTGGCACGTTTGTGGTTACGTATGTCAGGATGTTTGGTGACTATATCATCGACAGTGGAGACAGCTGAGTGTACCATACATAGATATCTTCCACCTCGTGAAGTCGGAATAAACTTTTACTCTACAGATGTAACTGCTGTTTTGCCATAATGAAAGTGATGAATTTGAAAGTATGGCCAGCATATTATGTACCCAAATTGATGAGTTGGTGCTTGATTGTCAAAACAAGCTAAGTGAGTTCAAATTCATTGATTTTCATTATGTAAGTGAACAAGGGGTGAGTTCGTGTCACCTATTTCGTTAGGTAGTTCAGAAAGCTAATCCCTCAAAACAACATGCACCGTCAGCCCTCCAACATCAAACGATTTTCACTGTAATAACAAAGGTCTACTTCCAGGTAAGACATCACTGAATACACCCACATTCTGTCATGTGAAAACAGCCACCTTCCTTCGAGGATTAACCGACAATATTTGATTTTGTAAAAGAATTGTGGACATTATGTAAAAAATTTGGTGTCCAATGAAACTCGGTCACGTGACATGGGACAGGTTTTGGGGCAGCTGCCAATGAATGGCATATCGTTCCATTATGTGGATACTGATGGATACATTTCTCGAACAAGGTAATAGCCCATTAGTTTTGTTATAACGTTAGTTGTTTTTAAGTTTGATATCTGTATTTTGGGGGCGCGGTGGGCGAGCTGGCTAAGGCGCCAGGCTAGTGATCCAGCGAGGTTGAGGTGTCGGGATCGAGCCCACCTGTGACCGGGTGTAAAAACCTTGGAGTCAACTTTGTGTGCAGACTCTTTCAGTGTTGTCACAACCCCTAGTGTACAGTACACAACCCTGTGCACTTGAAAGAACCCACGAATCCGTTGGTATTTGACCAGATGGTGGCCACATGAATACGTGCAAACACCTAGTTGCGGGTACAGCAACGTGCAGTGAACATGGACAAAGTACTGTGACTATGTGTCCCAGTCCACCCAGCTGTGAATGGGTACCTCGTTAGGATGAGAAAGCCACAATAACTCGGTGCGCCTAGTGGCTGCAAGAGTTGTATACTCCCCAGGGAGTTGAGATTGATAATGCGATATGCCGTTGAGATTGACATCCAATGATCGAGGGAAAAAATACCAGCGCCTTGAGCATGCACTAGTGCGTGGATATGTGCGCTATATAAAATAAATATCCTATAATTTTGTTTTTATTTTTCTTGTAGCATTCAACAAAATCATTCCACTTCAATTTTCATTCCGTTAAGTTCTTCTAGGTGAGACAGACAACATGTACTAAGTCACACTTAGGGTAAATGTGTGTGAAATATGATTCCCATATATTTTTTGGTACTCTATAACATTTCTAGAAATTACAAATTTATGAGGTTCCAAAGTGCTTATAAATATAATAATGGAATAATAATGATAATGCTATAAGTAAAAGGCAAAACGTTCATTGACTTTATTTTCTTTCAATCTTAACAGTATTCACTACTGCCAGATGAAGTTAAACTTAAATATATTATATGTCTATGAGTCTACTGTATAATTTGTTGTGGCCTGTATTATGTTCCTTATTGAACATTTACGAAATATTGTCCTTTTTAGTACAGCTATGTGTAATGTGCATAACCACTCCCAGTTAGTTGTATTAGTATGCATCTCTTTGAGAAACATTACAAACGGAAAGCCAATGGGTAACTCAAACCTAATGGAGTGTTACCGGTTCCTCAGTAATTTATAAGTTTAAGGTATCTATAAGTTTACCTAACAAAACGTAAAGCAGACAAAGTAGAATCTTAAGTTTCCATATTCTTTCAATTAGGTTTAACTTTTCCTGAAATTAATCTTGTTTCATTTGACAATATCTTTTATTTGAAATCTGGTGTACAAAAACACAGATCACTAAACTGAAACCTATATACATGTAATACATAGACAGTTTAACGTAGGTTAATGTAGGTTTCTGGATATATGCTGTATATATTGAGTCAAAGTAATTTCCTCTACATTCGTTTCATTCAAGTTCCCATCAATGATGGTTTCTAGTTGCTTTATGCAATAGAAACTACCAATGATACTTTACTGTAAGTTTCCATTTCTGGAAACTAACTTTGTTGGTTTCCGGCAGTTTCCAGTCACTGAAACTAACCTTGTTGGTTTCCGGCAGTTTCCAGTCGCTGAAACAAACCTTGTTAGTTTCAGCAAAAGGAAACAACCGGAAACCAACATGATTCTCACATTATCCAGTTTCAGGTAGGTTTCTGGAAAACTGGAAACCTTGTTATTTTTGCTGTGTTGCTAGTCATTTTTCCTTATATACTATATACTTCATGTTATTTCCTACCTATTCTGTCAGTGTGAATGTGTAAGTGAATGCAATGTGCTTGCCTATGTCTAAAAAAACAGAAGCCTGTTGCTTCATTCTCTTTTCTCTTCGATGGGGTTTCTGCTTCCCTGGGCTGGAGCCCCAATTTGTAACAGGGGTTTCTGAAATAAAAAGATATTTAAAAAAAGAAAGATTTGTGACCTAGACTCTGTGCACAAGACCACACACCTTCACAGGTGTCCCACAGTATGCACACACAAGAGGCTTTGGCAGCAGTACACTTTTACTTTATTTAACTGATTATTAATAGTCGACAGCAAAGAAGCCTTTTCTGAAGATTTTAAAAGTGTGGTGACAGTAATATTCAGGATTTATGGCATTGATATAATAGAGGTTGTATTCTTATGATCACTAACAATTACTTTTGTTTCATGAACTCAATATTTTTGCATATTAACGCTGACAGCAATTCTTGGTCAGGGATGTTGTTTCTTTAAGTGCTCATTACACATGTGAGCTGCTTACAGTTATTTTGATTGTTTTGCAGGAGTTGATGAGGTCTGTGTCTAGGCATGCAGAAGTAAAATCTTTCCGTCAAGAGTCTGGAATCGTCATTCCTTTGCACAAGTCATCAGACTGTAGATCAAAGGTAAGTGTTTTATGCTTTTTGGGACTGCTCTGTGTTTTTTCTTGAATTTGATAGCAGATGCTGATAGTTATATCTTTTCCTAGCTATCATAGCCAGATGATGATTTAGCAATGGCGATATTTATTATCTGAAGGGTGCGAACTCTCCCTTTTGAAATGCTGTAAGCGATGATCAATCTTCTTGCTTCCAGTCTGTTTCCTGACTCAAGGTGCTATGACAACTTGCTACATGTTTAATCTCCGAGTGCAAATCAAACTGACACAATAGGAGATTACAGGGCAAATGCCATGAAAAATCAATATATTGTCATGGCATTACCTACATCAGAAACTGAGTTTGTGAGAGTCTTGGGCAACATAGCATCGATGAAATAATGTAAACTCTCTTTATCGTGTTACTTCCAATGAAAATTCCCTAACTGTTGCCTCATATCAATCTAACAAATATTTCTCATACTACCTCTGACCCCAATTTAACAAACTTTGAGATTTGCCTACATATGCTGCCAACAGGGAAATAGCAATCAGCTATGCACACGTTTCCCAGCGATATAGTTAAAACATACCAAATAATATAATGGGATGAATTCTGACACAGTGATTGGTAAAATATAATATCTAAAACTATTATTTTACCAAGGGAAATATATGTGTAATTTTAATTACAGGTTTTGCTCTATAAGTGTAAAATTTGTATAAATCAACACTAAGGTTACTAGTACACTAGTATACGAAGTTGTAAGCGCATGGAATGAGGTGAAATGAGCATGCCATTTCACCCATGTTTTCACCAATGTTACTGTAAACTAGGGGTCCATGGATGACGAGGCCATAATCAGTTCGTGATTGTTGAGAATAATGTGAAATTGGTGCTATCGTGGTTGGAAAAGTGTATCCTCACAAAACATGTAACATGTTATATTTGGGTTTACACTTTCTTATTAAGCGAAAGTTGTACGTGCATGGAATGAGGTGAAATAAGCATGCCAGTTTGTTGATATGTGATTGTCCAGCTACTGGCTGGCGAACAGTTATCGCGGCGTAACAGTTATCGCCAATACATCAGTATCACACATACACAGCTCTTGTCAGTTACAATTCCGGTATTTTTCCCCACAGTATTTGACAACAATAAAGGACAGCAAAAGAAAAGTCTTCATGGTAAGTAACATAAGAGAAGATTAAAGATATTATGAACCCTATAAAAATGTTTTAACTTAATCGGGGGGACGTCACACGATCTATATAATAGCAAGTTCAAGTTCCCAAGTCTTAAACTGTTTTGTTCCCTATCAATCTACTGTATGATAAACACTCAACTAGACACACAATCAATTATTCTAGGTTAATGTATGATATAAATATGTATTATTTCACGAATGGCATGATCAATTCTGAAATGGCGATAACTGTTACAGTTAGTTGTAAGAAAACATCTATTTACATCTATTTGTACTGCCATGATTCCCTCCCGCAGCGACAGTGAACTGGCTTGACACATCGGCGGATAGCTAATTAAATATTGTGTGCGATCGGTGTGCACATGCAGTTTCATCAGTAGGGCGGATGCCCAGTCGCTATCATGAGAAGTTTTATTGACAATGGAAATCGGGAAGTTAAGTTATATAAAAAGCAAACAAACATCAATATTATTTACCCGAGATCGTTAATACCACTTCAGATGCAAAATCAGTTGCCTTTATAACAAAAAAAAGCAAATGAAAATTCAGTAAGATCAGTCGTCTGCTAGTGACAAGCAATATATAAATGGGAAGCCAGGTGATCACAACACTCCCTCGCAGTGCGCAGCGAAATGTATGCTCATCGTCGAAAACCTTTATAAAATCCCCGCATGTTGCTTGTGGCAACAGTTTCGCTGATACGATGTAATCAATGCTCTTTTTGTAGGAAACACTTGATATTTCTGTGTGAAATAGGTGAATATATCCTTTATCACTCAAGGTTAGTAAACCAAAAACTTTAAATGATATTAAAGACAGAAATTATGTTTTTGTCTTACATCGTCGAAAACCCCTGTGTTTTGAATGAACAATAACTAAATGCGGAGTCTTCTAATATCCTTTTAATGTAGATCTCAAGGTATTTGCTGCAAGAATGAAATGCAGAAAATAAATACATACTTCCATAACGTCTTCATAGTAGATACATATGCACCTTTGAATACCAGATTATTATCAAAACACATTCTCCGTTGGTCAGAAAATAAATACACCATCACTGATAAGTGGAGGGAAAATAAGATTCAACTGAAAAGTAGGACCCCTAAAGTTAGAACTTTGTTATAATATGTTTAAGCCTCCAAGAATCCCGCCAAAGCACGCATGTGCCGAGCCCACACAAATGACCATTAACTCACCCGGTTGTTTCCCACCATAGCTTGCCTTAACAAGGTACCTGTGTCTAAGCGGATTTCACAGCAGCCAGTACAGCACAGTTAAGGTTTTTGATAAAAACTTGCACCCCATGCGGGGAAAGGTGGACGCCGTCCCATGAAAACATGGAGCTGTCAGCACTTTCAATGTCATGCCTTATTTGCACGCCTCACAGCTCCCTCACGTGGTTCCCCGCCTGTTGAAAGTCTTGCAGGCCCCCTCGATGACAAGTGAAAGGAAATGTATAGATTATGCTAAATGATTGCTGGTAAACGAATGTAGGATTCATATGCATCAGACCCCCATCTACCATATTTTTTAATTATGTGTGGGCTAACGCCGTTCGCTGCCACTTTAGTTGCAGCACCAATCCTAAAAGAATGGTAAGAAAACGCTGAGGTGTCTACATCACTGTGCCCTAATGCTTTTTTAAGCACGGCTTGGAACTGATGTCTTGTGAGAGGGGAGTGGTCAAAGTGGATAAAGGCTTGCTGTGTACCACTTCGGCGATTGTTAAGGCAAGAATGGACACAAAGGGTTGGAGGGGATGGAGGAAATTGCAACGAGCATGCCTTTGTTTAGCCTATCAGTCTTGGAGCGTCTCAAAGTAAATTGTACTCGCCTGGCAGATGTGTCCAGTTTCACGTCATTTACGGCAATGCCTGGCTGGTCAACCGAGGTCTGTACGAGCTCCCCCACCCTGAAAAATCCAAAGAATGCGGCACAGAAGGCAGCTTTGAAAAGACATTGCTCATTATATGTTGCTGCACACGGCTGGAAGATTATGGATTATTAACTTTAACAAATCAACAGTGATTGATTTACGTGAGTCACGTCGCGACTGGTCACGTGACATGCCAGCAAGTAACTTAGAAACCAAGAAGTGATCGGTGCAATCCTGCCACCCATATAACTTATGAAAAGATGATAGTGCGGAGATGTATGTTTTAGCTGTACTGCTGGAGTAATGGTTAACCGACAGATACGAAATAAAAGAAATAAAATGCACAACCTGATCAATCAGGGCCGGCCAAAGCGGTGACAGCTCATGCGCTCGTCTGAAGGTGTGGAACGTCTGCAAGCCCGTTTGGTATGTCGACCAGGTGTTCGCCGACATGGACTTGTGTAGCAATCGCTGGACCTTCCAATCTAGATGTCCCAGATCCCATCCGGGAGGGGTGTTGGTGTCAGGTCCGATGCTGGCGCACATTTGCGGAACTGGTCCCACTGAAATCTTGACAGAGAGTCATCTATAACATTGGCATGGGTACTAATGTATACAGCTTTGAATGTGATATTGTACTGCAAGCAATATAGAATGAAGCATCTCACAAGGGACATAGTATGAGGCAAGACTACTTATTGATATGAACGACCACTTGATTTTCACAATTAAACAGTATTCTTCTGTTGGACAACAATTCCAACAGCGTCATATCCCTCGTCACGCCCTCCCGCACCCATTGCTGTGGCCAACGCCCACATGTCCACTTGCCTTGGTTGTAAGCACCAAAACCTGCACCGCCTGCTGCGTCAGTAAAAAGCTGCATGACCGTGTTTGACGTCCACACTGGACTCTGAAAAACTGATATGCCATTAAAATGTTCTAGAAATTGTAACCACAATACCAAGTCATCCTTGATGCCCTTTGTGAGCCGACATCTGTGAAATGTAGACTTTAACTTGCACAACTTGTCGATGAGACGTTGACAAAATGCCCGTCCCATGGGAATGGCACGACACTTGAAATTGAGTTTACCCACAAGAGACTGGAGTTCCCATTTGGTTACCTTCTTATGATCCACACCCAGCCACCCTCTGATCTGCCCAGGAAAGTAATTATACCCCAGCTACGAATGTCTGTCCGTCCGTCTGTCCTTCCTTCCATCCGTCCCGAAACTTTGTCCGTAGCATATCTCTTAAAGTTTACATGCTAGGTTCACCAAACTTCACACACATGTTAATCATTACCCATTGATGTGCCTTTTGCTATTTTAATTTTTTTTCAGAATTTTGTTTTTTTGCTGTTTCCATGGAAACACGACTTAGGGCCATATGTGTTTGATGGTTTTTGTCCGGAGCATATCTCTTTAAGTTTACATGCTAGGTTCACCAAACTTCACACACATGTTAATCATTACCCATTGATGTGCCTTTTGCTATTTTAAAGTTTTTTCAGAATTTATTTTTTTTGCTGTTTCCATGTGTTTAATGGTTTTGTCCGGAGCATATCTCTTAAAGTTTACATGCTAGGTTCACCAAACTTCACACACATGTTAATCATTACCCATTGATGTGCCTTTTGCTATTTTAAAGTTTTTTTCAGATTTTTTGTTGTTGTGCTGTTTCCATGGAAACATGACTTGGTGCAAAATGTGTTTGATGCTTACCTGGCCACAGCATATCATCGAAACTATACATGCTAGGTTCACCAAACTTAATACACAAGTTAATCATGACCCACAGATATGCCATGTGCTAAAAAATAACAATCTTCATCTACATCCACTTCATTGTGTGCAACATGAGACAGTCAAGTTCAAATGTATGTCAGGTTTCCACAGAAAACACAAAGAAATAATGTTTCCATAAATTATTACTGTAATCA